GGGGCGCGACACTTCCCTGTGCGCGCCGCCCGGGGGACGCAGCGACCCGGGGCCGGGTGGCCAAGGGAATAGGGTCCTGGGTCTCTGTGCACCTGCGACCTTTTGCTTTTCTACAGTTCGTGTAAACGCACACTCGCACGCATACGCGCACAGACGCAGAGGGTTGCCCCCATGAGTTTCCCAAGAAACTCCTGGGAAGAAACCTAATAGAAACCTAATAGAATTTTATCATTTATTCTTAAGATTATGGATCGTTCATGATAGATTGAGGGGGTGGGGGCGAGGAAAGGGCTTTGTGGTGCAGAATCCACCTCTTTAAACCAATTTAAAAATCTCGAGTGTCTCTTACCCTTCAGGAAAGTTTGGCTAGCTAGTTTCATTGCTTTTCTTCTGCCAGGGTCACGAATCTCTACAGCTTTCAGTATAAAATCTTAGCGTGAACCTGAAATCTCCATTAACAGGATTAGTAAGTAGTCAACTATTAGTTAATCATGTCCGCCTAAAGGAATGGGAGGGCAGTTGAATAAGTGGGTGATGCTGGAGAACTGGAGACCACTGAAACTGGAAAGGTGCTTGGGAGGTGGAGTTGGATGAGCATCCTTATTTACAGCTAGGAAGTGCAGTCGGTGGGCTGTCACCAGAGTTCTGGAGTCTGGATGAGGATGGGTGGGTGGGCTAAGGCATACTGGATAATGGATCTTCTTCCTGTTGCGGACCACTGAAGGGTGTACCCATCCTCCTTCTAGTTCCCAAGGTCACTCATTGCCCCATGACATGCGTTTCCATTGCTTCTTAGAGGGCTGCTTCATAGTCCCTGAGAATATGATCTCTAACTGAGTGCAGGGCCTGGCACTGTGGGGTGTGTGATAGCAAAGGATGCTGTAGTCTGCATTGGCATCGGGTCCAGCAGGAGAGAACAGCAACAGACACTGCTCCCAAACCAGTGTCTGCCCACTTCCTATTCTTTGCAGACCTTTATTTGGTTATATTTCTTGCCAAACAACTGCTATTTAAGTCTTAACTATAGCTTCAGCTTTGTTTTACCTGAGACAGGGAACTCAAGAATTTAATTAGTTGAGGGGACCAGCAGGTGGCATAATGGCTAAGGCGCTGGCTGGACACTCCCACATGGCGATGTCAATTTGAGTCCTGGACTTGGTGTCTTCCTTTCTCACTTTCTCACTCTCTTTCTCTTTCTCTCTGGTCAAATTAAAATAAATGAATGAATAAATAAAATTTTAAAAGAATTAATTAGTTGAGTTTTGTAAAGTAAACGAAAATTTGCAAACACTTGTGAAATTATGTGTCATATGGTAGCCTTAAATGAGGCAGGCATTTCAGTTCCAGGGAATTTGATTCTGCCCTTAGAATATGCCATGTCACTTAGGACCAGCAGTCGGCATAATGGCTATGTCGCTGGACTCCCATGTAGTCGACTACGGTTCAAGTCCCAGACCCAGTGGCTTATACTCATGCCGGGCGCGTGTGCGCGCATGCCCAAGATCCTGAAAGGAGAATGAAGGAGAAGGGATTGCAGTATGGCCATCCTCTCTGGGGGGTATTTTGTGCTTTCTGTCTCTCTTTTTCCCTCTGTCTTTCTGGCGAGTGCATGTGCCCTATAGCAAAACCTCTCCCCATCCCCCCAAAAAAGAATACGCTATCTCACTGACAGTTCCAGTTTTTAACATGACTTTATTGCAGAACAGGCTATTGCAGTAATGAAAGCAGTGCTTCTCCCCTGGGCAATACTGCTGGAGAAGTACCAGGGTCCATGGCCCCCGTACTCACTTTGTAAGCAGGAACAGTGGAAGTGGAGATGGAGTACTTAGGTCACTTCCTGTAGGACTTTTCAAGGTCATCCTTACAGATAAGAATCTGGCAGAGCACAGTTCACATCTTTCTCTGCCTGGTCCAGGTCTTTGAATGGTGATGTACCATGTGACTCTAATAAGATAACTTTGTTGTAGTTGGGCAAGGGGTGGCGATTTGCTAGTTAAAAGGGAGTAGATAAGAAAAAGTGCATTGCACTGAAAGTTGTAGATTGTTTGGAAAAAAAAAAGACATGCAAAGTTTTCAAGCACCCTTATGCAGCAACAATTAGAGCCTTTTTTGGTGTATTCCAGGGTGAGAGAAATGTATGAAAGAGAGAAGATCTTCATAATTACTTTTGCAAATGGGTTCCTTAGGGAAGAGTTATGTGGAGGGATATGATGCTTACAAGCTGGACTGATGGTTTTCTAAGAGAGGAAAGAGGAAGGACAAGGACACCAAATACATCCTTGCCATGGAAAATCTGGCTTATTATTCCTTGTTATGAACTATCTAGAGTCCTCATCCTTTGTTTAGGGATGCATTCCTGTAAGCTCTAACACACAGAAATGACTGCTGCACGTCTGGTGTCTTTGGATAGAATCTGTTCTGATTATACTTTAAGAGTGCGCTAGGTTCTGAGATACGGTAATGAGTAAGACAGACATGTCTTATTATTGTTGAGAAACATACCTTCTACAGGAGAGTGTGTATAAGCAGTGCAAATGAACAGTAAGTCAATAAAATGCATAAACAACACCAGACACTGATATACAAAGGAAGGGTAAACAATTAAAATCCAAAAAAAGATATAAGCAAGAACATATCAGATAATGACAAGTGTGATGATGAAAATCAGTTAACACTGCTGATTCGAAACAATTGGGTAGGAAGCCCAGATGTTCTGTGGAAGTGGCAGAGGATGTGGGTGTTTGAGATAATGACTAGGATTTCCAAAGGGCCAGACATCCTTGAAGAGGAAACTCTTGGTAAGAATATTTTTCTGGGTCATCCCTAAGTAGGGCTTACCACTAACACACAGGCTATGTCTAAGCAAAGGGCCATGCCTGCTCTGTCCTTTTATTTGAGGGTCTATGACCAGAGACCATCTGCCCATCTACATTAAGAAGGCTCAAAGGGCTGTATATTCATGACAGCACTCCCTAAACCCTAAACAGACCGACAGAGATGGCTGAAGTCTAAGCACATACCATCATCCACTCCTAATATTTATTTGTGCCATCTATAATATAACTGGATCCAGTTTAACTATACGAAATTTTAGCCATAAAGTGCAAAATTCTTCTCATGTTGTACTTTCTTGCTCCAAGAAGAAAGCCTAATGGGATCAGCCATAGGCATTGGTCTGGTTGATAGTAATAATGCAATGATACGTTTGGCCATAATAATAGGTAAAAATATATTAAATCGCCGGGAAAGTCTTGATGCATCTTTGCATAGAAAAACATAGAAAAATATGTCATAACATTCCCAACAATCTAATTTTTGGGTTTAACACAATGCCCTAGGCATTGATGTGGTTGATAGAAAGCACTTTTCATAAAATGCTAAGCATTTTATGTAAACTATATTATTTATACATATGTCATATTTAATTTTTAAAACAATGTGTGACGTATGTATTAGTCTTGTTATGAAAATGGGATAACTGAGACTCAGCCTAATTTTAAGGTTATACTCCTAAAAGCATCAGTTCAACTGCAAAACTATGCCATTTAATCCCTATATAATAATCATTCTTTAAAACATTACGATCATAATATCTTTCAAGTTTATAAAGGACTG